TCAGACCATAACATGGCGTAGAGGTATGAAGAAGCTAGCTTCAGCTTTAGCTTGGTTGGTGTAGCCCACCTTTCAGGTTGGGGCCTAAGGGATGTGGATTGTTGATGGTTAGAGACGCTGAGAGATATGGTCCGGAATAGCAGTCAGTGGCGCGAATGCTGTACGGTTTGCTTGTCGAAATCCCGTGCCCCGTAAAATCAACAAACAACAAAAAAATTCAAAGTGTACCGTGAAACACAAAGAAATTGTTATTCCATTCATTCGTAATCTTCTATTCTGACAGTTACGTCTCTTTCCCTATACTCCGTATTTCAACTTCCCCCGCAGTATTTTTATTGTTATAATTGTTGTGGCGTTGGTACCATACTTGTTCTCAAGCCGATGTTAAATAATACTACATTGTGTTCTTAATCAATGGGCATATTCCGGGATTTGAAAACTGAACTGATTAACCACCTTTACTAGTGCATTACATGCCTTCGCGGTTCACCCAGTAGCTGCAATCTATTCATAATGAAGACTGCATATTTGGTTCACAAATTTCCGGCAGATGTGGGTTACTTAGAAAGTGACCAACAAATAAGAGTTACCGATAATCTTGGAGAGATGAACATTTTACAGATTACCAATGGCTTATCAATATCTTTATTACTATGTGAACTGAAAAAGACGAATTCTACTCGCGAATTCATCGTAAAAAAGGGTCGTACGGATGATGAGCGTCACATCATACAAGAATTCTCAGAACTTATTGGAGAAGTAAGACAGTCTGAAAACGATGCGCACAGACAAATCTAGGCAAAACCAACTATCGCATGATCTTGCCGATATCCAAGTAATTCTGTGGTGCTTATGCCAGCTCCTGATATCATCAATCAATTGCTGGATCCCAAACTTTATTTAACAAGCACTCTTATCCACTTCCTAATGAACACAACCCAACCACCCAGGTGAATGATCTCACATTCAAGGTAATTGACAGATGGTAAAGCTTTGTTGTTTGCTGAGGATGGATGGGGAAAAAAACCCAGGATATTCCTACCAAAACCTGGTCTTAGGTGTGAAAACCCTGGCGGGAAAATTGCTCATATTGAACGTGTTAGACTTACTGGATGAGAACACTACTTTCAATATTCCCATTTTTACTGTTCCATCCAAATAGGAAGCCAAGAGACAACAAAAACCACCGGACATAAGTGCATGAATAATGGTTGTAAGACATTTTAAACTGTGGGAGATGCCCGCAAATAGAATCCCATTCATTAAAAATCTATAGATAATGAACAGCATCCCTTGTACTTTTGAAATACTGAAAATTTTGCAAAAACATTTGGACGAATCACAGCATTGTTGAACTTTCATGACCCCGTTCAATTTGCTTAAGACCCATTGATGTTTAGATTGAAGGCCAGTGCAAACGATGTACGTAAATGCGGAATCAAAATTGTTGTTCGACGTTTGGAAGTGAAGTCAGTGCTTTTGAAACTTCTGGTCGCGGCAGCTTTATTTGACATAACTCTGACTGCCATTTAAAGTTAGATCAGAAGAAATTTTTCATTAACCATTTACAGATAGGATCAGTTCATTTATTGCAGTAGTACAAATTCTACGTTACGTGACTACTCTCGTCTTCATCGAGAGTCATTCTGTCCGCTTTTATCTATCTCTCTTTCTCTTTCTGTATATATATATATATATATATATATATCAAACCTACCCGATGGACGACGGTGCTTAATTACTTCAGTGCCATTTGTCCTCGTTCATTCACTTTTTCTATTACACACTTTCGTGTGATAAACAGTAGGCGGGGCGAACCCCATAGTCACGAGGACATGCTGTTCAGTGATGGAAACCGCTAACCTAAGCCCCGGGACTTGGAGTGGTGAACCACATAAGGCCCCGATAGGTTAGGCGAGGTACTCATAAAGTGATGCAAACTGTGTCATCTCCCTTAAACATAACAATATCATTTTTCAAATGAAAGACGCGATCGGATAGGAATGGGCGATTGACTCACTTGCGTAATGGCAAAATCCGCCTCTGCCACACCATAAGACGCTTTGTATGGGTCCTTGACCTTGAGGAACAGGACACCATTCAAATGGAGAACTACGTTATCTGAATAAGAGTGAGGTGATCCGGTATTACATCAGGGCAGAACAGTGCATGAGTTTAACAGCTAGAATACACATATCTGTGTGATTGACATTAATGAGGCAGGGTCGAAAAATAACTAAAAGCAAGACTGGTAAAACATCATCATAATATATTCATAGTATTGATATATTGTTTAGCCCCTCGAAATCTTTAAACCCACCCGATGCATTTCGGTAGTGGCGTCTGCAATCCAATTTAAGGGTGAGAACGGGATTTTACGAGATATAGTGCAAGAAATGTTTGATTGCATCCTAGGCCTTCCTATAATTTTCATCACTCAAATTTTCCAGTTTCAGTTTCCATTTTACTTCCTTTTATTGAATACATACAATGATACAATTTTCAAGAAGGGGGTAGCGGCCAATCAGAGGGTTGCCACACATAATGGGGAGTCAGGTGGTGGTGGCGGAATTCGAACACATCCCCGGGGTGATAACTTGGTGACGTTACCACCAGGCCAACACCGCCACGAATAACGAGGATAATCGGATATTGTATGAGGATAAATTACATATTGTATATACGTATGAGTCCAGACTGTGTGCCACAGAAAAACCGGTACAATAGTCTTTATAAAAAATAACGTACATGGTTTGCATGTGGGAGGAAAACTATCAGGTTTTCCAAGCCAAGGCAGGTGATTTTTTTGGGGAATTCACAATTGGAGCGCCTGAGCCGCAAGGCAGCGATGCGATGTGCGAAAACCACAATCCATTGGGCGCCGGTGTCCAGTACATCGGATTATACACCCTTTGGACGAGATCAAACATCTAAAGTGCCCAATACACCTCGATACCCAATCGAGCTGGTGATCACTGTTACAACCAAGGTTTAGGTAAGTGTGGTTCGTACGCTTCCTCTTGGTTGGTATGGAATTACGGATGTTAGCTAAATCCAACAGGTAAACTGCCAGGAGTTCTCCAACCCGGTTAAAGCCCCGGACGTTGGCATTTCGTCCTCTCACTTTGTTGAGAAAATACCTTCGCCACGAGATAGCGATTGGAGCTTCCTTAGGCGAGGCTGTTTAAGACGCTTAGGACGTATAGAAGCCTTTCTCGAAGTGCAAAGGATGGGTGATCCACCGCAATCCAAGACACCCATCCCCGATCATACTGCGGTTGTCAGAGGCTAATGACATACTATTTTAACCTTGCTATTTTGAACTCGAATACGAGCTATAAACTTGATCTGGAAATCCACTTTACACCGGAAAATGTGCCTGAAGTGTGAAATCAATATAGTGAGTTCTGTGGCCGAGTGAAAATAAATCACCTGGGAACTAAATTCAAAGACCCGCATTGCTACGACTTCATGAACAGAGCTCAGGAATACTTACAATAAGGTTTCGCAACGTTTCACCACGGCGAGTGATGTTCACCGGAGCCCGTAGTGAGTGGAAGAAAGCCAAGGGTGGTCAAGCTAAGACCTGGCATGAGGTAAGAAAACAGCAACCAGGGTATTGTGTCACATGGGTTCCGTTTGGGCTCCCTGGATGGGGACATCGGGATGATCGTAACCGATGGTTAGAGATACTGAGTGATATGGATGAGTGTCGTAAACAGTGGCGTCCATACATCTTGTCAATTTCTCTGTAACATTAATCCACTAAAATTCTAAATTTTCTCTTTGATCTTACTTTAAACCTTTTCTATCTTTCTCCTAATATTCATCCAAATGGGCAACCAAAAGACAAAAACCAAAACCGGCACACGACAGTGCATGGTTAATGGTTGTATAAACTGAACTGAACGTTGCATCTCCAATTTTTTGGTTTTCTTTTTCTTCTTTTTCTCATCTTTACATCTTTTTATTCAATAAATACAAACGATACGATTTTCGGGAAGGGGGAAGCGGTCAATCAAAAGGCTGCCACACAACAAACAATAGGGAAGTTAGACGGTGGTGGTGTCCTTGGATAGCACGTCCGAACAATTTGGATAGAACATAAAGCAAGTGGGCAAATAATTAATTTTCATAAAACACAGAATAGCGAACAAGGCCGTTATGATAAGTTCAATCCCTGATCAGTAGTTATGTTAATAGGGATGAAGTCTAGCAAATTTGCTTGGTGTTGTGTGATTGAATTAGACTGGTAGATAGTGAGCAGATTCCAAAATGGGTGTTGGGGGGGTGATGAGACAAATAAGGGTTGGGACAGAATCGGAGTTACCCACTTTCAGTTGGGGTGGTGGGGTCATGGAAAGGGTCATCCTCAGTCATGGGACTGAATTTGCACCGGACCCAGGCAGTTGAAATGCCTTGAAAAATCACTTTATCCGTGATGCGTCCACCGAGTGAGATGTAGCTGCCCAAGTAACAAAACTTATCCACCTACTCTATTACTTCCCTAGTGAGTGAGGCTGGGTGCTGGATCACTCCAATCTTGTAATAACATTTTACACTTGAAGATGCAAAACCTATACTGAACATAGCTACACTAAAACTCAAACTAACCGCAAAAGCTTGCAACTTACCTGGCTCTTCACTTAGCAGCACAATGACGTCAGCATAATCTAGATCAGACAGTCGGCCACCTGGGAGTAAATCGATGCGGTTTTCCTCGCACATGAACAGGGTTGTTTCAATTATCAAATCTATAACAAAGTTAAAAAGAAGAGAGAGGGCAACCCTGTTGAACACCACATTCCGAGGTGAACTCGGGTGCGGCAAGCTCGGACTCGACTTCGGCTATTGGTATAAAGAGACTGTATTATTGAAATAAACTTCTCGGGTACATCATTCAGGGAAAGGCAGCGCCAGAGTTTAGAGCGGTCGACTGAGCCGAAGGCCGCTTTAAGAAAATAGAGAAGGGTCTACGAAAAGAATGTCGGAGCTCCAGAGTTTGGCGAACAGTGAATGTGTGCTCGATACAACCTCGACCAGGTCTAAAACCAGCCTGGTTCTAACGCGTGCACCGTTGACGTACGGCAGACAATCGGCAGAGTATAATAACAGCGAAAAGTGTAGAAGCAACGTTGATTGGGCTAATTTCTCTGTGATTTTCATTAGAGGATTTGTAACCTTTCTTGTAAATCGGTATGATTACCGATTCACACCATTCGTTTGGAACCTGTTTTCTATCCCAAGCTGAGCCCAGGAACTTTATCAACTCCAAAACTGACATTGAGCCTCCATCCATAAACGCCGATGGGGACAGTCCATCTGGACCGGAGACCTTATACCTTTTTAGATAACTTGTTTCCCGGGAAACCTCCATTTCAGATGGAGGACTAGCATCAACTGGGAGTATTTGCCAAGTCGAGGTGGGGGGGGGTGATAGATCAGATGCCGACGGGGGCCATTTGAACTGATCCTTGAAGCTTCGGATGTCGAAAAGCCATGCACGCGTAGGGTGAAGCGTGACGTTGAGGTTGGATCAGGAGAGTTTCAAGGGTTTTAGTTAAGGCAGCTTGCTGACCAATGTGCCAGTGTGCGGACATTAAACGCGGCTAAGTGAACAGGGGGATTGTGGATATAAAGATCCTATAGCTTTTGATTCACTGGCCTTGATGGTAAAAGGCTGAGTGATATCCGATGGGTCTCGTAAACGGGAGGCATGTGGGATTAGTTGGGGCCGAGAGAAGTAACAGATGGGAAAGCCATTCCTCCAAATGGGTGCCCAAGACTTTAGGGCACGATATACCTCGCAATAACCCACACAGACGAAGGGGTTTTTCTTCAGAAACCCTAACCGAAGCTTTCAGCTCAATGGTCTGACCCACAAGGCAGTGGGGCGTAAATGCAACACGAGAGCGTGAACGAAGCACCCGTGTGGGAGCTTCTGGAGCCCGGTCACGCAAGGCCTGGTTTGTGAATACCACAGGATGTACTCACTCCATCTACCAGTCCAATTCAAACACACAAAACATCATACAAATTTGCTAGGCCTTATTCTTATTTACATAACTGTATTGATCAGTAATGATCGTAACGACGTTGTTCGCTACTTTTTGTTTTAGATTCCAGAATATTAACATTTCTTTTAATCTCTTCAGTCGCTACAACGTAAAACAATCTGGTATTTATAGAAGCAAGATTTGATAACTACAGTGGTGAAACGAACAATAGTTAGGGAAGCAGGGGAGGGGGTGGGTTGGGAAATCAGGTCCATGGCAGTCTAACTGATTGAGTAAGATACTTTTGTGCACATAATATTGGGTTACGTAACTTGATTAGCATCGCCTCGCTAAACGCCAAAATCCTGGGGTTCAAGTTACGTAATAATGGCTTGAACGACAATTGTGGGTCAACGATGTGTCCAGTTGTCATGAGATGTTTTGCGATTGATGACCCTGGATTTCTCTTATCGGTTTGACCTCTAAGATTTTGTTGCGTCATCGATTGTACCAACC